AAATATGTATCATAAGGAAAAAACGGTGAATTAATTCGTTAAAAAAAGAATAAATAAATATAGTGTAATGTGAGTCTTTTCATGCTCTAATCCTCATTGTCTTATTTGGCCTTTGAGGCTCAACTTGTCCGATTATTATACATAATTAAACCCCTTAAGACCAAACCTATGGGACGACAATGGCGGAGGTGATTTCGATGAATATTCGAGAAAGGACGAGATAATATTTCTGGACTGTTCCAAATATTTCTAGTTTGGTGGAGAAGCTTCTAGACTCCACCAAATTTTAGAAATTTGTATATAAATATTGGTGGAAGAACAGAGATCAATCAGTTATTATATGGACAGTGAAGATAAATAGTAATTAGTAGATAGACAGTGGTGAATATAAATAGTGATCAGTTTAAAGACATTCGAAGTATATATAAATTAGAATAGTTATGTTATAAAATAAATAAACATCACAGTATGATACATTATCATTATAGTGTTCAGTAACAATTTATGTATTTTGTATAAAGCAAGAAATTCTTCTTAGAATTGTTGTAAATACATTTGATACTTAAAATCTATAGTAAAATGTAATAAGTACCTTCAAAATTTCGTTTAAATTTTCTATTACATGCATAAACAATTTTATGAGGATCAATATTCAGGACACCATTTTTCGTAAGCTTTTACAAATAAATCAATCAATTAGGTGAGTTATTATTTTTATTTAATAAAAAATGCTGATTTTTTTTAAATTTAAAGTACAAAATCAAATATAAATTTGTTGTAATTTTCCATTTCTATTAAGCATTAATAATGAAAATTTATGAGTCATCGCGCTAACATATTAAACGCATTAACCGAAACATAATATTTGGACAACGTGTTGATAATTAAAGAAAGCTTTATCAGACTTCCAACTACATAATATAATAAATTTGATAATTTCTTTTAAGGATTTCCTTGGCCTGTGTGGTTAAAATGCAACAGTCTAATTATTTAATTTCGTAAATGGTGCAATCATATCGCCTACGGTTTTATGTCCGACATAAATATAATCAACGTTTCCTTTTTCCTACAAAAGAAGACTTTTTACTTTTCATCTACTCACCACGTGTATGTGTGTGTGGTGTATGCAGAAAAAATGTGATTGTCAGTGGTAAAATTAACAAATACTGAATGAGTCTGTTGTATGTATGTCCAATTTATAGAAACGGTTAAGTCGGATCGTTTTTTGATTACAATTACATCACACGCAAATGAATAGTGAATTGAAATAAGATTATTAATAAATGTGCCAATTAGGTTTTTATTTTCTGTTTTCTATTCTTTACAGGTTTCTTTGCTGCTTTTATTACGTCCTTTGTCCTAAAGTCATTATAAAGAATAATCATTACTACAGTTGAAAGGCAAAAGGTCATAATCGACAAGTTTCGTAAAATTGATATTTTGGGTAGCGGTTCTCAAAATATGCTCCGCGGAGCCTCTGTGGTTTAAGTTATTGTCTGTTTTTCCACACATTCAAATTAAACCATTTTTATTACTATAGCCGTTACTATTAAACAGTGTTTAATATAAATTAAAATAGTCGAAAATTATAAATATTTAACGTTTCCAAAAACACAACCTCAAATGTCAAACGCTAACGTCGCTTGTTCGTTCTACGCCAGTGGCGTGACCCTGTCGTTACTAAACAAGATATAATTTTGCTTCTTTTTCGTGAAACAACGTCTATAACATATAAATAGAATTTTAAATTTTGAAAAATACAGCAATGATAGATGTTCTAATTATCGCTGCGAAAAACACATCTTACACCGTCAAAGAACACGATAAATTTCAAATTATAGCTACGTATATACAACTGTTTAATGCCAAGTACAACCAAAAAATCTGAAGAAAAAAAATTAATACTTAATTGTGAAATTATTTTAAAAAATGATCCACCTGAAACAAATATAATTTTAGTTACAACTTTTATCAAGATAATAAAAAACACAAATGAATCTCATTCGGTATAAAGATTACTTACCTTGACATCATTTCTCGTTTGAGTAATAATAGATATTAACAAAATTCTGATGTAAAAATCAATTATTTTTACATTTATTATAGAAATTCATTAATGTTGTTATTTTACATTGGGAAAAAAATTTTGTTTATTAATTTTACAGTAGCGTTGAACTAATACAGTTTAAAAACATTATATAACTAAAATCTTATTTTTTTCGCTCTAGACTTAGCCATCTTATAAATGCTCTTTCCACCCTTTCCTTTTTTTATTGCCAAACTTCTGCCTACCTGTTTTTATATTATTTCTAAAATTAACCAAAATTTACTAGGGGAATGGTAAATGGAAATTTTCTACATTTAATCAAAGAAAATTAATTTTCTTATACGCACATTCGCTAGCCCTTCCCACGCCATCAAGCACGTGTCGATCAAAATAAACATATTAAATAAGGAATAACTGTGAATGATAGATATCATTTATTTTTCCAGAGATTATTGGAATTGATTTTCTACAGAATAAACCCACATATAGAGATTTTTAGACAAAAAAAGTTCAATATTTTCAACAGGAATGCAAATTTTAAGAGCATATTTATCGTAGAACCATAGGTTTATTATATACGGGGTGATCAATGAAGTCATGTAAAAAATCCAAAAGTTTGTATAAGTGAAATTTCCGCAAAAAGATTTTCTGGTCGTTGCAATATGTTTCTTTCCTAAGGTAACATAAATATCTCTAGACGTTTTTGTCAGTTTTTGGATTAAGGCCCTTAGGTCTTGTACACACTACTAAACATAAAATTTGGGTAGCAAAATTTTTAAATGCTATAACTTGACATTAGATCGACGGTTCTTGATGATTTTTGCGGATTTGAAATTTACATATTATACCGGGTCGATAATAGACAAAAACGTATCGACAAGAACAAATTTATTACATTATATTCTACAATATACAAGATTGGTTAGCGGCCAAAAGTCAAATCTTACAAAATTTCTAATTCTAAACCTAATTTAAAGATTCCTGCAATCCCCAAAAAAACGCGGTGTACTGTAATAACAAATATTAGGTATGTATAGATAAGGATACCTATTGGTATTGGTAATTTTTAATAAATGAAAAAAAAAAAAAATAGTCTGAAAAACATTAATTTTTGTTTTAAACCTACTGGGGTGAGAGTTTTTGGACAGAACAATGAAAAGGACATTAAATAAAAACAACTTGAGGTGAGAATTTATTTTTACAAAAACTTAAATAATGCCAAACCTTTGAGCGCGTAGTACGCTACGTTTTTGTCTATTATCGATCCCGTATAATGTTTAAATTTAAACCCTCAAATAAAATGCTTAAACCACAGAAAATCTACGTGAAATAAGGATTCCAAATCCGCAAAAATCATCAATAACCGTCAATCCAATGTCAAGTTATAACATTTTAAAAATTGTACGACTTAAATTTTATGTTTAGTAGTGTGTACAATACCTAAGGTCCTTAATCAAAAAACTGACAAAAACGTCTAGAGATATTAATGTTACCTTAGTAACGAACCAAAAAAAAATTTTTGCGGAATTTCACTCATACAAACCTTTTCATTTTTCGCATGACTTCATTGATCATCCCGTATATAATAAACCTATGGTCCTACGATAAATAAACACTATGCAGCTTAATCCGAAAAAATCTGCAAGCCGCGTTCAATAATTTGCATTCCCATTGAAAATATTGAACTTTAGATTTTGCCTAAAAATCTCTATGTGTAAGTTCGAGTGACCAGCAGTTTATATTGAAGTGAAGACGATATAAAAATTATTTTTCAATATAACAGGTGGTGGAAAAGTGTAATCAAAATTGCAACTTCTTTCCTTTTTTTTTGTAATGAAATCTCTATTGTGAATAAAATCAGTGCCGATTTTCAGAGGGATAGTAGTTTGCCAAAAATATCGCGTTCGAGTCTTAAGACTTGAATTTTCGTTATTATAAGAGAAAACTTAATAGCGTATTACAGAAAAAAGAGGAAATGCTTGTTGAAAATCGTTGATATCGTAATAAGGGGAAAACATTATTATTATTTTCATTAAACCTGTCAAACTTCGTTTGGGGTTGAAAAACATCCTATTTCGTCGTTCTCTTTAGGACAGGTATTTGTACCTAACTTATTCTAGAAAAAAGAAAATATGTTTCTATGTGTAGCAACTGAGATATTTGATTTATATTAAATAGTCGGAAAATTCGCTTTAGGGTTGACAAACACCCTATTTAACCTTGCAAATCGTTCTCTTTAATATATATTGATAATCCAAAGGACACGTTAAATCTTTTACAAGAAATTGTGTAGTCTAAAGCAGTCTTTAATTAATACTATCTCCTGTATATTTTTTCGAATTTATACTTATTATCTAACTACGTAATATTTTTACCTATAAGATATACTTAAATGAAAATGTAGTAGAGATATCCATTTGTTTTTCTTTTATAGAAAATAATGTGCTAAACAAAGAATAATTAGAATGTTATGCAGTATTAGTTGAATAATCAAACAGATACCGAATTTTCGTGTACGCTGCCCCTCCCACCTTATCGAACACGTGTAGATGAAAATAAACGGGCTAAACTAAGGGAGAAGTGCGGAAGGTAAAGGGCTGCTAGCCGCCTCGTCCTACCCGCTTTGTTCCCTTCGCCATGCCATGCCCTGCGCCACCATAATCCACATGATGCGCCGCGTTTATGTGGGTCAGTAGGACATCCCCACTCGTCCCCACCGTTCTCCCCCTGCTTCGACGCTCGGATAGTGTGTGTGATGTTGTAAGTGTGTATGTATGACTACACCACCACACAGCTCTAACATAGACCTGGTTCATTGGAAAGTAGGTCAGTGGTCCCGAACTCAAACTCACTTTCACTTATTGCATGGACTCCTAATCATTTGGCGTTGTGGCCCTGTGCAGGCAGCAACGACACGACGAGATTCGACTACGACATAGACACAACTTGACGTCTCGATACGCTCGCTCGGCTTGGTCAGTCAGTTCACAGTTTGCGAATCGCCTACATCGGTCGGGCGTTTCATAACAAGCCGCCGATCGGTTTCGATTTCACTGAGAACGCGCGTGTGTGTGCTACTTTTCTTTTTTGGATTATACCTCGCTACATTTTGGATATAATTGTGCAGTGCTTTTGTGGTTTGGTTTATTTACTATGCCGTTTAGGTAGACTTGTGAAATGTTACTCGAAATGGAGAACCACTCCACGTTATTATCTTTGAACATGTCCCCTTTTAACGCCGCGAACTCGAATGATTCCCCGATGAATAACAATCAATCGTCGAGTCCGTTACCGCCCCAGTATAACTCGCCACCCATATCAACCCCTTATAGTAGCTGTCAGCAAAACATGGGCATGCAACACCATTATCAACAATCGATGATGATGTCTCAATCTATGAACAATATTGACACCTCTTATTTATTTTCTTCCTCAGGTGTCAACACGTTGTCTGGTATCGATATGGGAGCTAGTTACCAGATCGCGGGTGTGGCGACTTCCCTTACCGGTGGTAGTATTGGAGATATACCGGATACCAAGGACTGTATCGAAGAGTTGTGTCCGGTTTGCGGGGACAAAGTGTCCGGTTACCACTACGGTCTTCTTACGTGCGAATCTTGCAAAGGATTTTTCAAAAGAACAGTTCAAAATAAGAAAGTTTACACGTGCGTAGCCGAAAGGAGTTGTCATATTGACAAAACGCAACGGAAAAGGTGTCCTTTTTGCAGGTTTCAGAAATGTTTAGAAGTCGGAATGAAATTAGAAGGTAAGATTGTTTTTTTATTACCGCTAACAAAACGCAAATCGCGCCAAAAATAATCATTATTGATAAGAGACAAATCTCAATAAAATTTACGTATATTTATCATCAATAATAATATTTTCCGGTCAGGAGATTCCCACAAATGTACAAACTTTTATTTAATTAGTTCATGGTCACCTTTAGAGTATTTATATTTAGAAAATTATTGAGTCAAAAACATAATTTTTTTAAAACCAGATACCTACATACCTAGAGGTACCTAATTATATTTTTATTGCATTTATGCAAAACTAAATTATTTTTTTTATATTATATACCGGGTGTTGCATCCTAGGAAATTAAATGTAATTTTAAATGAGGCTTCCCTAATTATTTTAGAGAAAAATTCTATTTGGATTTATTAAAGAGCACTAAAACCTGTATTCAAAAGTATAACATTGAATATTTTTTATTAGCCCGCTTACGAGTTATCGCCGAGTTCTTTTCAAATATTTCTTCTTTTCTATGACTGTCAAATGAAGTTGTCATTTTAAATTGTATGCTTTATTGTTATTAAAAACACTCGTACATAAAAAATATTGTATTCATGAATACCTACGGCGATACCTCGTATACGGGCTAATCAAAAATATACAGGGTGTTTCAAAAAGATTGGTCATAAATTATACCACGTATTCTTGAGTCAAAAAATAGATCGATTAAACCGTACTTACCTATATACAAAAGTGCACTCAAAAATAGTTACAGGGTGTATAAGATAAAAATTTAAATTAATTTTTTTAACGTTGCTCAAACCGTATGACATTTTTTCATGAAATTTTATATGACTAACAAAATCGAGATAGAGGCAATATATTTTTTTTTATTTTTGTAAGAATTCAAAAATATAAAAGTAAATTTTTAGGTTATTTAAGTTTTTTAAGGTTTTTACTTCATAATATGTCAAAAATTATTGTCACTATCATTAATATCAATATCAAAAAGAAATGATTATAACCTTTAATGAAATGTTTGCATTTGTTTTTATATACACTTATTTTTGCACTCTTTCTTCTGAAAATTGATTAGTAAAATTGTGAATTCTTAATATTTATCTTAATTAACCTATAAAACCTAGGTCCAAAAAACCTGTACCTGCCAACCCTGATTTTAGTACTCTATAATAAACTTAAATAGAATTTTTCTCTAAAATTCTTAGGGAAGCCAATAATTGATCCCATTTAAAATTTTCATCCCGCCTAACGATACAACATTCGGTATAATAAAAAAACCCATTTGATATTGATAATAGTATGATAGTTCTCAAGAAAGTAAGGAATTTGTCCTGGGATATCAGAATTTTTCAACAAAATTTAGTTAGTAAACAGTTGTTTTCCTTTACCTACCTATTTTGATAAAATACATGGATTTAGGTCACGGCCATTTTATGATGTAAAATCAATTTTATTATGAGTAAAGCAGTGCGAGAGACGGATAGGTTTTATATTATTTTTTTTATGTCAGGGTTGGAGAAAAAGAATTAGGTAATAAATATGTAAATAGGTTTTTTAGTTTCTTTATATTTTTTTTAAATCCAAAAAATTCAACCTCACACATGTTTTAAAGGTTTTTTAAAACTTTTTTGTTCATATAAGTCAAAAGTTATTCATGTAAAGTTAACTAAATAAAAATCGTGCATATGCCATTACCAGAGGTGGCTCGTAACCAAAATTTTGGGGGTTCACAGCAGCAGAATATAACTCTCGGTATAAATGTCAGGGGGGCTATTTTCAATCTCGAGAGAATTCATTTCTCTCAAGAGAAATGTCATACGTCAACGTAAAACAGTATTTTTAGGGCTCATAGGGACAGTGTGAACTTATTGACTGTTTCTCTCGGTTTATTTAGAGATAATTAAAAATCTCCTAAGAATATTAATCCTAGAGGCCTTTAAAAACAGCGTTTCCACATTGACATATGACATTTCTGATGAGAATCTTGAGAGAAATGAGTGCTCCCATACGTTAAAAATAGCTCCCCAGGTATATTGTAAAATTTATAAAACACTTAATTTTTTTTCATACATCTGTACTGATATCTATATTCTGTCACTGTGAACCCCCAAAATTTTGGTAATGAGTCGCCACTGGCCATTACAAATTGAGTTTGATGATTTTCTCATAGATCTCATCACCAGATTTTTGTCTAAATTTATGTGGAACCATCCTTAAGTACCCTTCTAAAAAAGTATCCTAGAAATCTGACAACTTGGTAAATAATTATCGCTGAATATACATCAAAAAAAAATTTCTATGGCTTGAAGATATTACAGTTCAAAATTCCTGTTATTGGCCATAATATTTTTTTTTTTTTTAATAAAAGATTAGTTCCTGTTTTTCAGTTAATCTCCATAAAATAATTCATATTTTAATCTGAACGCAATAAAGCTACAACAACTAAACAATATAGTGAACTTTTCGAAAATTCAATTTATGTTTAAAATTAGCTTAAAATTTTTAATTGTGTGAAACTTTTCTTGTTTGTGGTAGTATCAAATTGAGGTGTTGACTTTTGGACAACTACTGGTATTCTTACCTTACTATTAATTTTTTCATATTTGTTTTAAGTCGAGGTTAAAATAATTTTAAACGGTACATTTGAGATGAAACAATGGGGTTGTTTTAACGATTATTTTTTATTAAAAATAATAAAATATATTTAATTTTCAATAATAAAGCGATCTAAGTTAGATCTTTATTTTTAATTCAGATTTTTAACTACTACACATACGGTTTTAATACACGATTGCCCCTTCCATAATGAAAAAAACAAATTTACTTACAATATTAATTTTGAATGAGATTTATGGTAAAAGAAAAACATGATACAAAAATATGTACTTACCTATCAAGTAAATTGAATATTCATATTGTTTTTAGTCTTGGCAACGTTAATGCTTCTTACCAATAAGTAAAATAATAATTATTATTCATAAGTTCGAGCGCTGTAGATTAGATAGCGCATTTTATAGTAAACAACTTTGCCTACCTGTAGATTTATTTACGCACATTCTGCTAAAAAAACTCTTGGGAACGAATACTTGAAATCGAGCCACGTGTTGACATTTTGACTTAGATTCTTAATTGTTCAGGCTAAAAATAACATTCTTTAATGGTGATTGATTGTTTTAATAATACGTAAAACTGTACAAGAAATTTATTTATTTAATATTTTAAGTAGGTACCTATATACTTATTAATTAGTTTCGCTTTTTAGTTATATAATTGTGTAATAAATTAGTAGTTCAATTAAAAAGCATACGTAGGTACGGACATTAAGTATTTAAAGCAGATATAAGCAACCTTTGCTTAACTGAGGAAGTTAATAAAAAAAGATTGAAATATCAAATGAAAATTAATGAGAGACTTGAGTTTGAAGCTGAGAAACAAGATGATTAATATCACAGGAGAGTCTAAATGCTGACCAAATGGAAAAAGGGTGTTGCCAATTGTATTATTCTTCTCGCCTTTTCACGTCTTTTTTTATTAGTACATAACGTAACTGACAGTCGGTCACTTTTAAAAGTATGGTTAGAAATCGTAAATGAAATTATTTTTGGTTGGTATTTATTTCTGAATGTAACACAGATGGAAATGTTTAAATAGTTTGAACGCTTGAGACTTTGAGGTAACAAAAAAAAACTATTTTAGTATTAAATGAATATAGAAAGATTTTCAGTGACGTTTTTATTTTCTAATAGGAAAAACCTATGAGGTTTTCTCTTGTTATAAAAGAATGCTATGTCTGATATAACCAATGTGTATTACAACTGGGTTTAATTAGATCTAAATGACCTGTTTCTCGAATGTCCACAAATTTCGAAGCTCTATAATTCTTTCTGTCTTCAAAACTTTCCATTATCTTTAAATGTGGTAACACTTCTGGCAAGCAATAAGAAATATGTTCTTGTTATTTTAATTAAATTTTTTCTAGACACCAAAATAGAGATATAGTTATCTAGTTTCCTCGTTTATACTTTTTATTGACTAATGGACAGTGTTCGAGGCTATTTTTTTTTTCACATACACACACACAACTGTGAGTTTAGTTAATAAATGTATTGCTCATGGCACATTGATGGAGCATCGCAACAGAATTTGGCAAACGTAAAAAAATTCAGATAAAAAGCAATGAGTCTATAAAATTTTAAAACACCTTCAAACGTATATTATCTTGAACTGTCGGACCTCCATTTAGAGGTAATTTGTTACTAGTAAAAGATAATTAATTATATCATTTTAAGTAATTAAGAAAATTAGTGTATAACGATGTAGAAATTACATTAAGATTAAATAAAAATTCCAATAAAATTGTAAGTGAATTTTTTACATAAATATAATTTAAATATTTTATATGTTTTGATTATCAGAACTTTCCATTTTGATATATTTAAATATGACAACCACTTTATTTGACCCTTTTTCTACAAGGTTATCAATCGTTTCAACAAAAATTTGACTAAGGTCATGACTAGACATTAGTATTGTGATACAATGATGCAGAAGAGTAAAAATGCATTTCCAATTAATTTTTACCTTGGAATCATTAGAACAATTGCTTTAGTTATAAATAATATTAGTTAATTGGAGTGAGGTACTTGAATTTTTTATTTTAAATTAGGTCAAGATTAATAGACATACATAAGAATAATCGATTTGATTTTGAGGGCTCAAAGTACGTGGGTTTTAAGTACCTGATACTGATCTGTTTTGTCGGTATATTTATGAAACAAAAGTATTTTCATTTAACGTAGTTTTTTATAATATACGTTTATTTTCATGTCTAAGATCATATCTTGTGATTTGTACGTTCATTTGTTATTTTATCGAAATAGCTTTTTTTTTGGAGTGGTATTTTGGCAAATTTAGACAAATACAGTGACGTGCATTAGGCTTTAATTTCGCCCTGACAGTAATTTTACTTAGACTATCACTTAATAGAAGATAATGTCACTCTGGCAAATG